TCCAGCATCTGCAGTTCCTACTATCTCCGAGTATCGAGATATTCACTTGTATTGCCAGAGGTATGGGCCAAGAGCTGGAAAATGCGATTAGTGTCATCAGATCTTTGTTGACCTGAGCAGATATGATGGCCAAGTGGTTTCCTTCTATAAATGGGCATGACATGTCTTCAGAGCAGCTGAAGTTTCACACAGTCTTCCCTGTCTCTTCCCAATTGCTTTGCATATTCTTCGGTTTTCCCTTCCCTCACATTCAGGGAATAAAGTTCTGCCTTTAAAAATACAAGTACAACAGACTGAAAAAGAGCATCTGGGCCTTTCTTATTCGTTGAGACTCCTGAAGTACCATATTAGCCCACTAGCCAGTTGAAGATAAAGCAATCTCCTGGGAAAGGCAAAAACAGACAACGGCCCAAACACAAATAGGCAAAAACCTTAGGAGATGGAGATCAAGTCCAGGAGACTACAGTAACCATGGTTATTTTTCCTGCAACTGTTCAGTCCTTTTTTTTGTTTTTTTTTTTTTTTTAAAAATGGATTTTAAAAAATTACTACATTAGTTCAAAAACATTAACACCCTTCCAACATTCTCATTGCATCTTCTGACTTATTGTAACTCATTAATTTGGTTTTTGTCCTTCACAAACCATTTCTTGGTAACCGCTCTTCAACTTACAAAGTGAAAGATGGCAAGGAAATTAGCAGTAATTAACTCTTGCCATCTCTCTCCTAGGATTATACTAACTCCAATCTTACAGCAACAGCTCATTGACTCTCAATGAGGATGTGACTAAATAACCAGAGAACTAAATCTCTTAAGTGGTATGTTTTCTTTGGTTGATTTAAGTGGATTGCCCAGTTAAGAGAATCAAAAATTCAGAATTCCTACAGTGTAGAAGCAGGCCATTCAGCCCTTCAAGTTCACACTGACCTTCTGAAGAGCACCCGGAGACCCACACCCCCTACCCTATCCCTGTAACCCTGCATTTCCCATGGCTAATTCACCTTGCCTGCACATGTCTACATACTATGGGCAATTTAGCATGACCAATCCACCTAACCTACACACCTTTGGATTGTGGGGCTAAACCGGAGCACCCAGACGAAACCCATGCAGACAGGAGGAGAATTTTCAAACTCCACACAGTCACCCAAGGGTGGAATTGAACCCGGATCTCTGGCATGAAGTAGGGGTTTTCCCACAATGTCAACACTTGTGAAAATTCAGATTAATACAAATTCAAGTTTGAGAGACTTTTTTTTTAGTAACATTGTTGTTCAAAAATAAATGAACTAACTGGAAAGAGTTACTTCATCTGAAGTTAGTATTCAAACAAACAGTCATCTGCTCATTGGGATCTCACCTTTATGTAACCCAAAGTACCATCCACCACATTATAATGATTGGCATCAATTCCTACAAAATAAGCTATGGCAGGAAAACAATTTAATAAGTCTAACATTTGTGGCTGACTGATTATGTTAGTCAAGGGTATCAGAGATATGGAGCTAAGACAGGTAAAAATGGAGGGGAGTTACAACTCTTGTGGAGCACGCTGGAGGGGCCAATGGACTACTCCTTCCAAGCCAAAATGCTATCAGGTAGATCACTCATGAGTTAACTCAATTGTGGAACAGATTCACCTTTTCCTTAAGCAAAAAGGACCACAAAACAGCAGCAAATTTCTATTAATAACATGCATTTTTTTTAAAACTTAGAGGATTTAAGTTATTACTTGCAATTATAATCCAGACTTACCCTGAGCTTTTCAAACAGCTCTGAAAGATTTATGTAGTAGCTAGAAAGAGAAATCAGATTTTCATTCATAAAGAACTATTCATATTCCCCACATTATTCTTTCTTTTAACAACAATTTTGTTTGATACAAAAGGTTGACATAGTAATGAACATAAAAATTAAAGACAAAGACATTCCACTTCCAATTTAGACCTGCTCTACGCGCTCTATGCCACACACACACACACACACGCACATCACAGAGGAACAACTTCTAAGCCTCAAATCCCTGCTCTCTAATTATTATGCATAATTTTTGGTGGTATAGATTCGTTTGGCTGAAGGACCTCTTCTGTGCTGTATACCATGAATCTTCCAGCTCACTCGCCCCTTCACATTTGTAGTTGGACACATTTTAACCTTGCTCACTCTCTCAAATCAGGTCATCAAGACTCTAAAGCTCCGTAAATGTCTCATTACAAGCATTTTTAAAGTTGTAAGTTTAGGAAAATTCTAATCTGCTTGATTGATAGCCCAGCCGCCTTGAACATCCATATCTTTCATCATCAGCAGTGGGTATTGTCCACAGGAGACACCACAACAATTGAGACAACACACTCTACACACCTCAAAACAACCAAACAGGACAAGGAAAGTAGCTACATGATAAGACCATCATCAATTCTGGAAAGCCACACACTATACATTCCATTGTTTCAGCATCTCTAGATCAAAATCCTAGAACATTCTATTGAATAGGATTGTTGGAGTGCCTTCACCACACAGGCTGCAATGATTCAAGGCAGAAGATCATCTCACCAACACCTTCTCAACTAGAGACAAGTACATATTGCTGGTCCAGGGCACCTAAAATGTTCCTTTTTAAAAATGAATCTGTGGGAGTTTGCAATGAGGGTACATGACTTAACAGGTTCAACTAGGATATGGTTATGTGGATGAGGAAAGAACTTACTTGTTCAGTGGAGCTTTATTGTCTATCGCAAGTTCATTCAAGGAAGAGGATAAATTAAGGTAGTCATCAGAAACATCTGGAGAAAGAGACAGTTCCCATCAAAATAAATAGGGTTGGCAGTCAACTCAATTTATTCTAACCTGTCTTTTTTGTTTTTAAGAAGAAAATTACATAAAAGCTATTAATTCTTTATGAAGGCTAGTGAAATATAACCCGGCACACTGCTACATACTTTTGTGGACTTTTGTCATTTTTTCTGCCTTTACTGCTGAGTCTTTAATTTTGATGCCATATTCTACAAGAAAGGTCTTCTCATGTTCAAAGAACTCATCAGCATCCTGCACAAGGAAAAGAAATGTTACTTTTTGTTTACATGCATGGTACAGTACAAAAGTAGACCACTCACCCAATTGGATCAGTTTTAGGCTCAATACAAGTCTCCTCTCACCTCATTACATCTAATACTATTCCCATCTCGTGTTTTTCTAATTTCCATCTTAAATGCATTCAGGCTATGCTCAACTACTGAGAGGTAACAAGTTCCACATTTGAGCCACTCTGAATTCCTCCTTGGATTTTTGATCATATTATAAATTATGACCCCTGTGCTCCCAAGCATAAAATTAGAACAAGCCCATTCAAGTGTGATGTCAAGATGTTCTACAAAACAGCTAGCAGAAATCTTGAAATCCCACCCCAAAGACACCCCAACCCTGTAGAAGCTAGAGGCTCAAATCAATTATACATTTCAGAATGAAGTTAGATTGATTTTTGCTAGGCAAGACTATCAAGCAGTATAGAACCAAGGTGGGTAAACTGAAGTTAAGTTACACAGATTTACCATGATTAAAGTTGAATGATATTCTGCTTTTTCATGAATGTTCTATGCCCATTTCTATGGCCCACATCCAAACTAGTCTCTATCAGAACTCCCCTCTTGAAGTAACCTTGACTACAGATACTAAAATTCCAAGCTTACCTGGGGAAACCTGGCTTTGTTGAAAATTTTAAAAAAAGCATGCACATTCCAAAGATGCCCAGTTTCAGACAGCCCTGGCACAGTCAAATTGCCAGACTACAGCGGAATACTGCTCAATCTAAAACATTGCATAGCATTTACCAGCACAGAAACAGGACATTTGGCTCATGGGATCTTTTGGCATTAACCTGTCTTGTTCAAGTTTTTGCTTGTGTCTCTTAACCTAACTTAGCCTGCACATTTAACATGAAGTTAGGTAAAAACAAAAGGGAGAAGGAAATAGGAGCAGAGATTAAAGGTTAGATGAAAAGGAATGGGAAAAGGCTTGTGAAGCAGAAGTTTGTTCTGGTGCTGTAGATACTTTGCAATAATTTAATTTAGTACAGAAGCTGAGGGCTGACCTGACAGAAGTAGTGACAGGCATGGGTAGGGTGGATAATCAGAGTCTTGTTCCCAGAAAATGTCAAATAGGAGGGGGCATAGGTTTAACCTGAGAAGGGAAAAGTTTTTAAAAAGATGCGCGATGCAAGTTTTTTTTTTTTAAAAAAAGGAAATCGAAGGGTGGTAGGTTTCTGGGAAGTGTTGATAGGGGAGGCAGTAGAGGCATTTAGACAGACACAGGAACAGGCAGTGAATAAAGGGATACAGACTACATCCAGACAGATAGAATTTGTTGAGAATGGCATCATGGTTGGCATAGACATTATGGGCTGAAGGGCCTGTTCTTGTGTTGTACTGTTTTATGTTCTAAACATTTTATTCTTTTCTCTTTCTTGTGTGCTTATCTAATTTGCCCTTAAAATGTACCGTTATTAGCATGTTTTAAAACTAAACTGTTCAGACATGTTACGACATAACCTTTGGAGCAGGTGGGACTTGAACTTCACCTTCGGGCCCAGGAGGTAGGGTCACTATCACTCACAAGGACCCTTATAAATAGAGGGTGATTTGAATCATCCATAGCTGGGTTAAAGGGACTTGCATGCTTCTATTTTACCATTTTGCTGGCAGCTATGCCATCAGTCTTAAGCACACTAGCCTCTAATTAGACTTTGTCACTTGCCAGGTGGAGAAAGTTCTCTCAAATTCCCCATTGCATTTTTTGTTTTTACTATAGGAGTGTCACCTATTCATGGTTTTCACACAAGTGCCAACATCTCCTTACATCTAGCCTTTCAAATAGCTTCACAATATTCAAGACCTCTTAAGCCAATCCCCAGCCTTTCCTGTTTTAAAAAAGGAACTCCTAAGCAATCCAACCTTTCTTGCCAAGTCTAATCTCTTAGTTCTGGTACCATATTTGAGGATTTTACTTGCACCTTATCTAGTGCCTCAGTATCCTTTTCACAATTGAGACTAGAACCGCGCACAGTACTCCAAAAGTAGTCAATCCAAGGTACATTACAAATTCAACATCAACTTCTCTGGTTTCACCTGTCATTCTACAAAGCAGCTCTAGTGCTTCATGTGATTTTACTTGTGGCCTTATTAACACGTGTTATTACATTGGGATTAATGTATTTGTATACATAGCTCTGATTCTTTAATCCCATTTAGATTCTTATTTTCCAAGGATTTTGTGGCTTTATTCCCATCAAAATGCAAATTCTCACTTATCTATATTAAAGCGAATTTGCCAATTACACACCCAACTCTACATGTTAAACATCTTGCATTCCACAATCTTCCACAGTATTAACTACAGTCACTGCCAAGCTTAGTCTCAGCTGCAAATTTTGAAAGTGTACTTCCAATTAAAGTTAAAATCATTTATGTAACTTGTAATCCAGCAACATATTCAGCATTGATCTGCATGGAATGGAGTTCCTATCTTTTGACAGTGTGAATACCTACCTTACTGCCTAATTTGTTTTCTGTAGCCAGCTTGCTGGCCATTTTGCCATGATTGCACATGTTCTGACCTTAACATGAAGGTTCAGTGCTGTCCACGGATCTGGGTCTCAATGCTGTAGCCGTCTTCTCGTGTCAGAGATGACAACCTTTAAAAATCTATGCAACTTAACCTTCTATGGTTCTCTGAACCATTCTTCCAATATTCCGTGACTGCACTTACTGCAGATGCTCAAGTAATGATTAATTGCATGTAAAAGTCAATCCAAACTTTTGGCAAGGAATTTTAAAACATACATACATACCCAGTGATAAATCAACCTCTGAATTTAGACAAAAAAAAAACGAACTCTGACTTCAGTGGCAAGTGAGTGTCAAGCACAAACTCATCCCTGGTACAAACCCAATTGATAGAACCGTAGAATTGCACACCAATGAAGTTGACTGTTCAGTTCCTGTGTCGGTGGATTTTCATGTGTAATATCAAGACAATTATCTCAATGGTGTACTAATCCCACTCTCTAACATGATGACACGGTATCAAAGAGAAATAGTGCAGAGCTGGAGACTTCAGGGTAATGGAGAAGAACATTAGAGAACATCTCAACTTAGGTTGATGCCTAACAGTAAATGCACAGAGTAAAGTCTAGCATGTGGCCAAAGCTGGAAGATAAAACTGCAGAATACATCAGAGAAAACGGCCAGAATGAACAGTTTCCTGAAAATCTATTAGAACCCTGACACTAAGGTTAGGTACTGCAGATTTGAAATCCTGTCTTTATGTACCAGGTCTAAAAAAGCGGAAACAATTTTGTACTGTGACAGGAGACCAGGATTGCACAAGGAACATGGATAAGAATTGAAAATATTCACATCAGCCAAAACATTGAGTAAAAGTTGGAGTTAAATGGGTGTTACAGAAGACAATTGGCCATGAAAAGATTAGATTCACTATTCTGCTGTCACGAATGCCCAATGGGATAAAGAATATCATTAGTTTGATCAAGAGAAAATCCTCCCAAATCAGTAATTTCCTCAAAACAGTAATCTTCCCCATTTACCACAAAGGAGGGGTGGTTAAATGTGGTTTGAAATGTTCAGATTACACCTCATCAATACATGGTTGCTGCTGTTAGATCGTGATACTGCATTGATTTTAACTGGTGGTCTAACTAGCTTTCTTCAACCATTGGAAGTCTCTCTAAAATGATGGGGGAGATGACAACAGTGGTAATCTCACTGGACTAGTAATCTAGAACCCAAATTAAAGTTCTGGGTTCTAAAGAGTCATATCAGACTCAAAATGTTTGTGTTTCTCTCTCCACGGATCCTACCAGACCTGCTCAGTTTCTCCAACACTGCTCTTATTTAAAGCCACAGGAACACAAGTCCAAATCCCACAACGACAGCTGGTTGTTAAATTTAAATTCAAATTAATGCAGATCTGAAATTGAAAGCTAGTTTCAACGACGGGAGCCATGAAACCATAATCAACTGACCCAAAAGCCCAGTTGGTTGACTATGACTTTAGAGAAGGAAATGTGGCCAGGCCCACATGAGACTCCAGAGCCATAGCTGTGTGGCTTACTTGACTGTCCTCCAAAATGGACTAGCATTGGACTCAGTTCAAGGAAATTAGGGATGGGCAACAAATACTGCCTTGCATACATCCCACTAATGTAAGAAAAGCTCAAGAATACCATGGGTATAAAGTTGAATGGCTGGACGATTGTTCACAGGGTGGGGACATATGGGCTCTGGCATTAGCAATCTGTGAATGGGTGGTAAAACCTGGGATGAAATTGGAATGTAGATTATCAAATCATTCAAGAAATGCAGAGAATAACAAATGTGATTGATTGATACAGAAGATGATCACTTGTGAAATGGTACGGGCAATGACAACATGATTGCTGATAATGATGGCCTTTATAATGGTGCATTCAAGTGGCAGATTGGGATGTGTTATTTGGCTCTGAAGGCAAAGAGGAAGCTGATTTTTTGTTTAGAGTGTGTTTTGCTGCTAAGCAGTATTGTTTTCTGGACTATGGAGAAAAGTGTGAAAATGTCGAAATTTAGAAATGGCTCATCTTTGATGGATCTGACAAGTTTGATTAATTTAAATTTTACAGGAGTTATGCTTATGTCCACAGAGATTATTATTTATAATAATAAATATATTTGGGATTTCTTCTGTGTTACTTTTGGGGGTCTGATTGGCACGGCCAGTCACTAACATGGCAGCTGTAATCGTGAGGCAATTTGAAACAGGTAGAGAGAAAACAGAAGGAGGAGGAGTGGTCTTTTAAGCTCAAAGAGCCTGAGAAGGTGCATTTCAACTTCTTCAAAAACGTTATTCAAAAGTTGACTATTTTTCGTCAAAAAAAAAAAAAAAAAATTTAGTCTTATAACCTTAACTTTTATATGAACATAAGTGGCAAAATTCAAGTCATATTTATATCCCAAATTTCCATGGTCTTTAAAAATGAGTTATGTCAAAGTTACCCTGGCTCCAGAGACGAGTACTTCATCAGCACTTTTCATCATACTCTTTAAAAACCCACCAAACATCTCCTTTGTGTTCTTCCTTCGGACACTTAGCTAAGATACAAAAACAGAAGGAGGTTATAGTCAGGTCAAGTACAAAATAGCAATGATTTAGTTGAATAGGGGAAGTTTTGGGCACTTGAAGGACTTAGGTGTTTTAAAACAACTTTCTCAGTAGACAGCTGAGGCTCAGTTTACAGGATATGCTTAGAAACATTAGCACTTAGCACAACAGACAGATTTAAAAGCTGGCATGAGATTCCTCTCACTGTTCATTTCTATGAAATCATCATTTATTTTTGAGAACAAAACTTGAAGTCATTGGGCTCTGGCAGAAGCAGACATCATTTCTGTACTTTTAAGCCAGGATATCATCTCACTGTAACAAGAGCATATGCTGCAGATGCTACAAATCTGAAATAAAGAGAAAGTGGAGAACCTCAGCAGGTCTGGCTGCGTCTGTGGAGAGAGCACAGGGTTGATAAGACCCCTTGGTTCTGAAGAGGAGTCATATCAAACTCAAAGCATTAACCTGTTTCTATCTCCACAGATGCAGCCAGAGCTGAGGTTCTCCAGTATTTTCATCATCTATGTTCAGAAACATGAGGTCTAGATCCTCAGCTTATGAATTTATGCATAGGCTTTAAAGAACTTGACAAATTAATGCTAACATGAACAGGAGACTAGACCTGCCAATCCCTCAATTGCCTTTCTAAAAAAAAAAAATTGCTCAGATATTTCAAATGAGAACTGAATCACTATGCAGAGAGAAAAAATTGCTGGGCTGTGAAACAAGAGCAGGAATACTGGGACTAACTGGTCAACTGTTGCAAAGAACTAGCACAATGGGTTGAATGGCCTCCTTGTGTGTCATAACTAGTGTATATTTTTCACAAAAAGCAAAAAGGAATAACTGAAGGAAATCATAGAATAATGCAATGTGAAGCAGGCCATTCTGTCTAGTATGCTTGTGCTGACTCTTTGGTACAGGCATCCAAGTCATCTCGTTCCTCAGCTCTATCCCAGTAGCCATGCAATTTCCACCCACCTCCCACAATCAAATAATAATTCAATTCCCTTCGGAATGTCACTGGTGAACCTTTGGCCACTTGGCAATGCAGTCTGTATTAAAGTTCAGCATTTAGAAACGTTCTTGAATTGTATCTGATTCTTTTACCAGAAACTTGCAAAATTATTGTCCTGTGACTGTCAATTCATGCCATGGCAAGTAATTTCTTTTTTAATGTATCAAAACATTCATAATTTTGCATACTTATATAAAATCTCAACTTTTTCTTCAAGTGCAGAATTAGTTCCCTATTCTCTCCACATAACTGAAGTCCCCCATCTCTCGAATGTTTCTCATATCTTTCGTATCCTCCATCTCCGAGGCTGATACATAATTCCTAAAGTGTGATACCCAGAATTGAACAATACCCTAGCTGAAACCAAAATTAGTTAGCATTACTACCTTACTTTTACACTCTTTCTCGCTATTAATAAAGTGAAGAATCCCATATTTCTTAAACATTCTCAACTTGTACACCAAGATGCTGGGACATATACCCCAAAGTTTCAAGATACCCACCCCAGCCTTAAAATTCTACCATTAAGTTCATATTGCCCTACTCATTCTTCCTACCAAAATATATTACGTCACACATTCCTCTTCAATTTCATTAGTAACGTGCCTGACCTCAAAAGGCTACGCTTCCTAAATTATTTACTATTCTCTTCACTGTTTATTACATTTTCAAACTTTACACAATCCTCTTCACTGTTGGTATAAAATTTGAAAATATAATATGTAACATTGAAATTATGCCGTGTGTACTCAAGTGCAAATTATGAATATGTAACAGAGTGTAGTGGTCCTAATACCAACCCCTAGCGACACCATCATAATTCCCACCAGTCTGAAAAACAATCAATTACCATTAATCTTTGGCTTCAGATTAGTCAAAAAAATTCTACTAGTAACAAATGCTAGTACTCTTGATTCTGAAACAGCAACAAAGGTCATGAGTTCAGACCTCATCCTGGTTAAGTTACAAAACTAAGGAAAGCTGTTGAATTATAATAAGAATCCAATATCCACATGGGAAAGAAAGAACTTGCAAGTCTGTGATGCTTACAAGCTCCCACATAACTTTTGGTAGTCACTTATGAAGTATAGGAAACATGGCAACCAATTTCTGCATAGCCACCTCTCTCAAACAATGACCAGATAGTCTGCTTTAGTGGTTTCAGTTGATTAAATAAGGGCCATGAGCAGGTACAGAGCTCGCACGCTCCTCTTTGAACAGCCAAGATAGAGCTTTCACATCCATGCAAGAGAGGGGAGTAGGAGAGGGTTTAATGTCTTATTTAAAAGGTAACATTCACTGAGTGCTGCACTTTACTGCCATTATGTAGTCAAGTCATTGGCACAAGACCAGAACCCATAATCTCAACAGGGTTAAGCTGCTTCCACTGAGCCACAAAAGAGAATTTGCCATCCCTGTTTGCCTGGTTCACCAGTTACACTATGTGGGTGACGACATGCAAGAGGCCTAACAATCCACTGGGTTACATATTAAAAACATAGCTCAAGGAAGTAACCCACAAACGTATTCTTGAGCAGAAACTAGGGATAGTTAATGTGTGCCAGCCTTATTGAAACAGTGCATGCGCAGAGAACAGAACTTTTAAATTCTGTAATACTCTGCTTTTGGCATCAAGGAGTAAAATTCATACTGACACCATTTAATTGTTGGAATAAATAATTGCAAACATCCACATTACAGCGCTGTGAAATAATTTGCTTTTTGAAGGCCCCCACCGAGTTGCCATGCTTATTGTGCCAATTCAGTAAGTGAAAATAATTGCTCATTACATACCCTTGATGATCAGCTGGCCTTTCAAACTTTCCATCTACTTTTATTGATGTGATAGAATCTTAATGTTACTCATTACACTCACTTTTAAACAACTATTTCATCCCTGCCAAAATCTTGCATACAAGTACAATATTTCAGGAAGTCTCTGACGGATGTATAGCTATAGACGTGACTGCCTGCGATTCATCACATACTAAGATGCTAGTTTTAATATCCAGTCAGACTGGCACTCAAATCAAGCACAGAACTCTTACAATACCTTTAAATAATCAAGCAGCAATTCAGCGAGATTCCCAGGGGGTCAGGAAGAAAGATTTCAGACACATCAGTGCCTGCCATTGGATTTTATATAATGCACTTGCTCTTCCAGGCTGTGGATACTGTTGGTCAATTCAAGGATTAAGTTAGCAGTCTTTTGACTGCAGTTTCAAACAATCACTAGATTCTGAAAGAGGTGACAGGAGTTGCAGCTATTGGTTGGAGAGCACGGTGTTGACCCTTTTAGAAAAGGTATTTTGCATCATATGCCACCTAGGCATAAGAAAGGTCAGTAGCAAACCTTTCTCCAGGACCAAGGACCCTGGTGCAGACATCCCCCCTGCAGAGAGCTGCAGACTAGAGGCCAGAAGATCTACGGAACAACAGTGTCATTGGAGAGATGGTGGCTGTTACTGAGACTAAAAGGCCTAGTATCATTGCTAAATCTTGGGTGAGTGATGGTGAAAGGTTGGGTTGTTGTGGGGGATAAAAGAGGTTTTGCAACTAGGGCAGGAGGGTGGTTCTCGGTGGGACAACATTCCCAATACCAGATCCTTTGACCATCACACTAGGGGAGGTGATAGGCTAATGACATTGTCATTGGACTAGTAATCCAGAGAGCCAGGTCATGTTCTGAGGTTTGAATGCCACCACAGCAAGGTGGTATAATTTGAATTCAATAAATAATCTTGCACTAAGAAGTCAAGTGACAACCACAAAATGATGGAGTTCAATCTGGATACAGGCAAGGTGATGCATTTTGAAAGATTAATGCATGGTAGAAGGATACAGTAAATTGCAGAACATTTAGTAGCACCAACATAGAGGGATCCAGGCATATGGGTCCACAGGTTCTTGAAAGTGGCAATGCAAGTGGATAAAAGGTGTTCAAGAAAACATATAGCATGCTTGCCTTCATCATTCGGGGCATTGAGTACAAAAATTGGCAAGTCATGTTGCAGTGTACAGAACTTTAGTTAGGCCACATTTGGAATATTGTGTACAGGACTGGTCACCATGCAAGGATATGTAGGCTTTGGAGAGGGCACGAAAACAGTTTACCAGGATGTTGCCTGGTTTGGAGGATATTAGCTAAACTTGGTTTGTTTTCACTTTAACCAAGGATGAGGGGCAACCTGATAGAAGTTTATAAAATTATGAGAGGCATGAAAAGAATGAATAATTGGAGTCTTTTTCCCAGGTTAGAAATATCAATTAACAGGGGACATAGATTTAAGGTAGAAGGGAGTTAATTTAATGTTTTTATTACTACACAATGTGGGGGAAATGCCTGGAATCCACTGCCAGAGGTGGTGGTAGAGGCAGACACAATAGTGATGTTTAAGAGGCATCTTGACAGATAGATGAATAGGCAGGGAGTAGAGGTTTACAGACCATGTGGAGGCAAAAGGTTTTCAGTTTAGAAAAGCATCATGTGTTGGTGGGCACAATGCCCTGTTCCTGTGTTGTATTAGTCTTTGTTCTTTGTGAAATCATCCTTGATTGCTTTAAAACCCCCAAGTGGTTCACTAACATTGTTTAGGTGTAAGGACAGCAGTTTCCTTATGTGCTCTGGTGTACTCTGGACTAAGTGTGATTCCAGACCCACTATGTGGTTTACTGCCATCTGAAATGGGGCTAGCAAGCCACCCAATTGCATCAACCACTAGAAAAGGGAAAAATGAAAGAAACTAGACATTGACTAAGGCACCAGAAACAAAACAGCTTACACAACTATTCACAGGGTAGACAGTAAAGAACTTTTCCCTGGTTGGAGGGATCAATTACCAGAAGCACAGTTTTAAAGCTAAGGGGCAGGAGGTTTAGAGGGGTTACTGAGAAATTTTATTTCACCTAGAGAGGGTGGTGGGAATCTGGGACTCCCTGCCTGTAAGGGTGGTAGAGGCAGAAACCTTCAATATTTCAGAAGTATTAGATGTACACTTGCAATGAGCAAAGTGCTGGAAAATAGAATTAAAATGACCATATAAACTAGACTAATAATATAAATGCTGTGGTTACAAGAGCAGGTCAAAAGGCTAGAAATCCTGCAGCAAGTAATTTACCTTCCTACTCCCTAAAGCCTGTCCACCAACTAAAAGAAAAAATGTGCAAGTCAGGAGTATGATTGAATCCTCCCCACTTGCCTGGGTGAATGCAGCTGCAACACCCCAAGAAGCTTGACACCATCCAGAACAACATGGTGCGCTTGATTGTTTGCATGTGTGGTGCCATTTAGTGCCTCCATCACAGTAGCAGCAGTGTATACTGTCTAGGAGAATGCATTGCAGAAATTTACCAAGGCAGTTAGACAACATCTTCCAAACCTACACTACTACCTAAAAGGACAAGAGCAGTAGATAATGGGAAAACTATTGCCCAAAAATTCCCTTTCAAGTCATTCACCATCCTGACCTGGAAATACGTTGCTGGCCCTTCAGTGTCGCTAGGTCAAAATCCTGGAATTTCCTAACGGTGCTATGAGTCTACCTACACCACATGGACTGCAATGGTTCAAGGCAGCAGCTCACCATCTTCAACAGAAACTAGGAATGGGCAATAAATGGGCTAGCTAGCTGCATCCCCAAAATGAATAAAAAAGGGACTTTGAATGAGGCAAAGGTTGGGAAAGTAAAAAGGAAGCAAGAGAAACAATGAACTGCTTGCTAGGAGACTAATTCTTAAGTGATACTTAAGAAACTGTTTAAATAATTTAAAAAGTAAAAGCTAGTTATGCAAGAAAATGGTGTTTAGTCAATCATGTTCTCAGTCTTTTGATACAGTAAGCGCTTTTACAAACAAAATCTTAACCTGTCAGCCAACAATTCGAAGTTCAAATTTCTCTTTAAAGGAATCAGTCTCTAGGGAGGTTGTAAGAACTCTTTCAAACAAATTCATCAAATTAGATTAGCTCATCAGTAGAACTATCTTCTTTAGACTGGTATGGAGAGCTTCAATACTTTTAAAATATTTCTTCTCCTGCCCACTCCCTCCAATATAAACAGTACTTGAAATTAGTAAAAGTATGTTCTTCCCAGCAAAACAATGTTAGAATGCAATAACTGCAAAAAACAGTGAAAACTATAAGCGAAAACAGAAATTGCTGCAAGAGTTTAGCTGGTCTGACAGCATCTGTGGAGAGAAACCAGAGTTAACATCCAGTTAACGGTCCAGTAACCCTTCTTCAAAACAGATGGTAGCTAGAAAAAGGTTGGTATTTTTCTGAAGATGTAGCGGGTGTAGGAGGGAGAATAAAGTTGATAGGTGGACAGAAAGCCCAAAGGAGAAACAGTTGGACAGACAAAGAAGTGGGCAAAGGTCAACCTGGGAGAATGAATAGCTGCTAATGGAGACAATTAATAGCTGACAATGGGTGGTGTGTAGCAGCTCATGTGATGACAAGGTCTGGTGTCTGGGAGTTGGGGTAAGAACATGGGAGAAAGTGCTCATGCCCCAAAAATTGTTCAACCTGTTATTGAGCCCAGAAGATTGCAGAAAAGGAGGTGCTGTTCTTCCAGCCTGCACTGAGCTTCATTGGAACACTGCAGCAAGCCTGAGATGTTGGCCAGGGAACAGTGGTGTGTTGAAGCGGAAAGCACCTGGAACCTCTGTCATTTTTGAGGACAGAAGGTGTACATTTACTTCCTCCTTCCTCACTACTCAAACACTTTCCAGGTGAAGCAGCACTTCACTCAATCTAGTCTCCTGCATTTGTTGCTCATAATGCGGATTCCTCTACACTGGAGAAACGAAGCACGGACTACATGACCACTTCATAGAACACCTATGTTCAGTCTGCAAAAAAGACCCTAAGCTTCCAGTTGCTTGCCACTTCAACACACCACCATGATCTCTGGCCAACATCTGTCTCAGGCTTACTGCAGTGCTCCAGTAAAGCTCAGCTCAAGCTGGAAGAATACATTTTCCACTTAGAAATTCTGCAGCCTTCAGGACTCCATATCAGGTTCAACAATTTTAGGGTTGAGCACCTTCCCCCATGCTCTTACCCCAACCCCCAGACCTCATCACATGGGCTGCTACCACACACAACCCATTGTCAGCTACTAATCGTCCCTGCTGAGCAGCTATTCATTCTTCCAGGGTGATCTTTACCCACTTCTTCGTCTGTCCAACTATTTCTCTCTTTTTGGGCTCTATCTCCATCTATCATTTACTCCATTCCCTCCCCTCACCACATCTTCTGCACAAATACCAACCTTAATCATAGCCACCATCAGCTCTGAAGAAAGGCCACTGGATCCGAAACGTTAACTGTTTTCGCTCCACAGATGCTGCCAGACCTGCTGAGTTTTTCGAACAATGTGTGTTTGTTTTTATTTCCGATTTCCAGCACGTGCACTTTTCAGCATTTTAAGTGGAAAACAAAAAAGTTTTTTTTTTAAATGCAGTACATTACAATGATCTGGAATGTGCTGATGGAAGCGCAGTAGACTGAATTGCTTGAACTACTTAATTATACTTGAGAAGGGACATTTGCAGACAAAGGGAGAAAGAGCATGGGGTGAGACTAATTAGATAGTCTTTAAAGAGATTTCATGTTGTGGCACAATTAGCCTTTATGTAGCATTATTCTAAGAGACAAGGGAGCAATGGTGAATAGAAGCTAATGCATCAGCAAAGAAGTGGATAGGACTATGTTGAGCAGAAGTGCTTAAAGTTAGTAATTCCTTATGTAGATCAAAACATGCCAGATTTAAATTAAAGCCTCTTCAGACCAAGAAATGTCCTGCAGTTCTACCAATCTGAATTGAAACCACTGGCAGTCATGATTTTTGAACCTTATTTTATGGGAGAGACATAAATGATTTAGGGAAGTCAATTAGCTCTCACTTCTCCTCACCATCAGCACCCCTCCCACTTAAAAATAAAGCGAGAATGGGAACGTTCTGCCTCAAAGGCTTTCAAGGAAGAAAAAAGTCATTTTTAGTGCCTTACATCCTGGTCATATTCCAGGAAAACGTGGAAGTTATGGTCTTTGCCCAAAACACTGTGAACTGCAAGTCGCTGAAGAAAGACTTCATGGATGGACACAGTCTTTTTAAAGACAGCTAAGTACTCCCTAAACAAAAAAAGAGAGTGGGTGGAAAAGTGACAATCAATTATACTAAATAATCACAAATTATTTAATTTACATAATAAATAAAACCAATGATGTTTAACTGAGTAAAAATAATGACTAGGTCATATTTACAAACAAAATCAACATAATTCTTGGGCAAAATTTGACTTTAAAATAGCATCTTAAATGCCATACTCAACTTCTGATCAAAATTAATGCAAACAGCAGTCATACTTCAGCAAGAGAAAGAAAAACCACATTATTAGTCAGCCTATTCCCAGTCCTTCCACTGTAGATTTTAAAACCAACTCCCATCCCTGCTTGTATTTCATCTTAAGAGTAACTGCTGAGATGAGTTGTCACAAATCAAAAGGATGACATTTTTCTCAATAGCTCACGCTTCGAGTTCTTGCTTCATTTTATTAAATTCCTCTTTTGACATGGAGCCTTCCCCTTCGCCCAGCTTTTGCATCTTTTCTCTTGCAACATCAAAGTCAGGTTTGGCAGGTGCTGGAGGTATCTGAATGAGGTGGGGATAGGAAGGAAAGACATTTTTAAAAGAGTTAACTACCAATTACATATAACATAAAACCAGATGCCCTCTAGTACTTAACTTTGTCTGACCCCATGTTCAACGTTTCAACGCAAACCTTTTTTAAAAAAGGTATACAGAACATTAAAGCTACACACAATGTAAATTTAAATGGAACAGCAAGCCGTCATTCACACCCTTGGACCTCTTACATTATTTTTCTAGATCATGGGGAACCTCTGCTCCATATCCTTTAAAGCCTAGAATCAAAAAAAATCTGTTGATCTCAGTCTAGAAGGCTTCAGTTGACTGCTAGGATTACTAATTCTTTTGGAGACAAGAAAGTTCAAAATTTTCACTATCCTTTATTGAAAAAAATTACTATTTTCCAATTTCACTCTTAAATTGCCTAGCTCCAATTTTAAAATTGTTGCTGCTGGTTTTAAATTTCTCTTGGGAAATTGTTTCACTGTTTCTACATTCCGCTACATTCCTTCATTATTTCAAAGGCCTTATAAACAAGTCAACTTTATACAATTCTCCCTTTAATTTTAAATTACAACAGATTGAAAGGGTTAATCTGCATTGAACCTCGAAGGTCTTCATCAGATTCAAAACTAAATCCAGATGGAGTCCAGCAAAGGCTTTATATATCTGAAGTGTCATTCTCTCCCATTTTGTTGCAGTCACCATAAAAATTAATGCTAATATTCCTTTATACATTTTCATTAGATTTTGTCTGTGTTCATTCGCTTTCAGCGATATTTACCTGGACACAAATCTTCATGCTCCCCCACTGCAGACTTTGTCTTTTTCACCATTAAGAAAATAATAGATTCTATCCACATGAAGCAATAATCATATGCATAGTCACATGGACAGCAACTGTTGAATGCGTTTCAGCTACTCACAATAATACCAGCATAGTCGTCGTTCTCGACCAAGGTGTCATGCAACCAGACAAAGTCCTCATGCTGCCGAATAACCGAGAACTCTGATTTCTTGAAGGATGGCAGTGTGGTCTGAATGAGGAGACATCAAGTGTTAGCATATTCCAATCATGGGGACATTGATTTCTTCATCCATTATGCCCAAAGACTTTTAATCACTTCCACTTAGCAGGAATCGCTGGCTCCACCCATGTTTCAAAGGTCACTGATTTTCCACCATCACGTCATGCCCAATTCCCAACAATAAAAGTCCAGAGTTGTTTGCCAAACTTACAGATGTAGCAACTACCAGCCAATAAGCATAACCAAACAAACAAAAAAAAGGTTCATGGAAGGAAGACACTTGGTAATTAGCATTGAAATCTTCTCAATTCTGGGCAATGTTAAATTTTACCAGTAATCAAGCCATCTTATTATAAAGCTACTTTATAGGTCTCATTGAAGTTCTTCTAAAGAACACAAATGCTGGATGACAAAAGCTGCATTATGACTAAGATGGGAGGACTGCACTGTCTCTCTAATATCACAACTCCATGGGTCACAGCATAAATTTAAATTATTTTTACACAGTTCCTGATATGGCAATCACATGCTTTCTTTGTATTAGATTTAAAGATCAAATTAACAGATTTCTTTAAATATGAAATTAATTATAAACAAGACTTGCTCAACAATGCAAAACTGGTTAACAATTTGTAATATGAAAGCATTATGTTTACTACTCTAAATAACCTGAACCCCACACGGGATTAAAAAAAATGAGTTCCGTCTTCAGAAATTCATTCTGTGAACACCACAATTTGGGCCAAGTCTCTGTTCCTGACAGCAAAAAAAAATTAAAGGTATGAAATGTTCAGCTGGGGCAGTTGGTGTGATGTTATGTCATACAAAGGAGGATGTCAATAAATGCAAGTGGATGTCTTTAGGATCTTTGCCAAATGTACTTGCTTTGGAAACAGTATTAAGTATTCTTTTGGATATTTATCAGGAGGGTAGTCAGAGTTCAGTCTGGACCAGGGCCTCAGGGACCAAATGAGGCCCACAAGAGGTTTTTCCATAAACAGGTGTGTTGGACTGGGAAGTTCTTTACCTTGCCCAGGCTAATCACCAAATAAAATAGACAAATCAGCAAAACCCAAAAGGAAAAGCTGCAACCTGATAGTAATAAACCCAGCCCCAGACAGGTGGTCTCCAGTTATCACAAAATTAGTGACTTTCAAGAAATGTGCCACAGTCCCTTTCGCTGACCTCTTTAAAATCAAATAACTCAGGTAACCACAATCCTTTGCAAGTCCACAGAAGTTATTAAATATAGAGCCACCTGCTTTGCATATTCAACTGAAGTGGGTTTTACATGGATGTGAATTCAAATGTTACAAATTCTTACTTTGCAAGATGACCAGAGGCCAAATTGCACCTTGACAAATCTGGTAGTATTCCACAAAAGATCATGACTAGCACAGAGGTGTCTTCTGATTTACACCATTGTATGAGTCACTCATTGGTGATGAGGTTATCTGCCCAAGAAGCATGGGTTAACAAATCTACTACTATTGATGGGAGAAAGATGCATTCTCTTAAATGGACAAATTCTACCTTCTCATCACAAACATGTAGACAAAACCCCTGGAAGATATATGTCAGTTATCGCACATGTTATATGGAGCCCCTTAGCAGTGGGAAAACATCAAGCAATCTTGGCCAAAATCCTGAAACCTAAAAACAAATTTGCTCTCTCAAAAACCTCAACATTTACCATGCAAAGAACAAGACAGCTTGAAATCAATGTGAAGGTCATTGCTATTACTCTGCCCAACTGTATAAAACAAACCATCCACTCCCAAAATAACTTTCACAAGACTTGGTCACTGTGCAAATCACTAGTTTGTAAATATACACCAGTTAGGGTGATGGTAGACGACTCATTTACACCTTAGAAGAGAGAATTGAATAAACATTTGAGGAAAACTTGCAGGGATACAGGAAAAGCAAAGGGAGGAATTGTTGGGTATCTTTTTCAAAAGGACAATGTTGGGCCCAATGGCTTTCTTCTGTATGACAGGATTCTACAAAACTATGAGACTCCTTCCAAGAGGCTTCTTGCACGAAAGGTTCTGCCTCACACAATTAGAATGACATTCAGAAGCTGTTTTTACATTGGCTGGTGGCCAAATTATGTCAAAGCACATAACAGGCATCAGCTGGAACTTCATCAAGGTTTTCCACAGTCCTGAAGCGAGGAAAGGTGCAACTAGCACAGTGCCAGCAGTTAGGTACTTTGTTAGTATTATATCATACTGAAGCACAGCATCCCTGGAAGAACCTGACTGTGGACATTTTTCTTTGAAATTTCAGTGTCCATTTAGATTCCATACAACTCAATCTGCAGGTTCAATGGCTTGATGTAAAATGCTCAGTTGCAAGAAGGTTGGCTGCTTAGTGCAGAATTTGAAAGATGCCCATTTTGATGTATTTTGCTTCAGTAGGCCTATATTTGGAAATTGTTTCTTCAACTTAGTTGGGAGAAGTAACAAAAATGTAATAGATGCTCGAGAAAAAACAAGTAGACTTCACTTTGAAAATTAATTTCCAAAAGCAGATTATCAAAATGGTTTGCACCACACACATTAGTAACCTTCTTTCCCACACTCCATATAATGGAACTCAGCTTGTGAATATTTTGGTGATTTATCCATCAGCACTTTAGACACACTCTGGCATCAAAGCTCCAAATCATTGGTCTCATGCCAAGGCTCTGTTACCCCCCAAGGCTCCCAACTCTCCACATAGAGCTGAACTCATCTCCCAGATATGGGAACAGTCTTCTGTACCCTCCTTTTGCACTAGAATAAAATACAGAGAAAATGTGCTGGCACCCAATCAGCAATTCAAGCCTTCCCAGTCACAATATTTACCGTCGAGACACTAGCAATCACTGCTCCCCTGCCTTTTTTCTCATCTAGCTCCTTCACTTCAAATGTGCTGTTATATCCCTCCCTACACTCTCATCATTTGAGTACTACTCATTCCTAAGTAAAGTTGGAGTCTTGCAAAACTGAGAAACTAGTTTTCTCTTCCTCTTACAATCTTGGGGTCACTTATTTCACTATTTCCTAATTGATGGCACCCTTCATTCACCCTTTTCTAGTTTATAGGATGCTACCTAAATTGAGAGGGGGATAGAAATGAATAATATTTGAAGATTTACATCCACCGATTATCAGAAATATTTAATTCCCAAAATGTTAATTTGCAGAACCTTTTTTTCAAGTATCAAAATAAACCATGAGAACTTTTCAAAATCACTTCCTTTTAAGTCATATATAGAATTTACAGTTTTTCCCTAGTCATCATTTTGCACATCTCTACTAATGAACTGTATGCCTTGATCTACTGCTTTTAACAGTACAGCTGAAAGCACTTATCTTCAAGGAAGTGTTTGTTCAAAATCTGCACTTGAGAGATCGGAGATAAGAACTAGTACATAAAAGGAAGTTTAGAAAATCAGCATTCGAAGCAATTTCTCTCCCACCATCCCCATCAAAAACTAAATAAGAGATTGTGGTACCAGCTTCTGACTTAATTTATTCCATGAAATGACCATTAAGAAATTCAGATGGTTATAATATGACAAAAAACAGAACTTTCAGTGTTACTTTTTAGGTGGGTGGAACTTTGTGGTCACAAAAATAGAGAAAGGGATGCCATAGAAAAGTTAAGTTAATGGCAAAAGAGATCAAATGTTGAGAAAAATGATTTAGCAAGGAGATTAATCGAGCTGGAGACAAACACAAAGAAAACTCCATAAAGCACAGAAACAACAGAACTAGATAAAATCAAGAGTATCTGACAAGATAGGTTAGAGTCAGAATGTTGCAAGGATAATTTAAAAAGGAATACAAGAAAGAAAATCTTTACACATTTATTGAGCCTACTTATATTGTTTGCGTATATTAATGGGAAAAAATAATTCAGAATACTTTCTGGTATGCAGATTCACTGAATACGATGCAGTGATCACATGGCAGCAGTGTTATGAAGTTGAAAACCTTTCATAGTTTCCTCCGGTTGCAGTTCTCTGTTGGCAATGCTCACAGCAAGTTACCTGGTGTACTGTTTTATTAGGACATAATCTAATGGAATATGTATTATTTACCCATTAAAGCTAAATGAGATTTCTACAATGCCACAAAATATCAGTTGAGTTGTTTCCCAGCATCCAAACTCTAGATCACAGAAGTAGCTTGCATAATCATTTATGCAGAATATAGTGAAGAAACAGCCATTTGGTTGAACTTATTCATAGAGTTTATATTTCACTTGAATGAACTCCTTCCTTTCCTCACAGATATTCATCATTATTTTCTATTCCCTTATTCCACAGATATTCTAGCTTTCACTTAAAATATTAATACTGTACTATTTGCTTCAACTACTCACTGTAGCACAGAGTGCCAGATTTTTACCACTCTTTGGGAAAAGACGGTTTTTATGAATTTCATACTGTAATTTCTTGGTGTCCATCTTATATCAATTGTCTCTTGCTACACTCGTCCATACAAGAGAAAATATTCTGCATCCACCTTGCCAAAAGGTTTCATAACTTGAATTCCATTAGGTCTTCCCACTGCTTTTTAGACAGCAGGCCCAGCCTACTCACTTCTGGTACTGCTCTAATAAATCTTCACTGCACCATTTCCAGTACCTTTACATCTCTTTTAAAAGCTGGCATCCTAAAACACAGAGCACAGTCTCTCTGGGCATAAATTATGCTCTATACAAGTTTTGCAGAACTTCCCTATATTTCACATATATTCTCTAGATATACCTTGGAGTCTGCATAGAAGTTATCCTTTGAAACATCAAAATTCCTCCAAAAACGGTGGTCAGCTTATATGCAGAGTGCAGCTTGGCATGACGTGGGGGATTTGATACGTGACAAAAAACATAAGTCATTCATATTAAATTGTTGTGATAGTTTAAAATAGATTAAAATTATTGTGACAGTTTAAACTGAATAAATTGCACAAAGATACTTCGTAATGACAAAGGATTAACAAACCTGTCACTTTCATTTTATTGTATCCAAAACAAAGATCTCAGTTATAAAATGACTGGTCAGTAAAAATATCACTTTGGTGTGATAAACTGAGATGACTAATGCAAGCATTTTGTGGCTAAGAGTGGGGGTTCAACTTTTGTTAGCACATGCAAAAACCAAACTTGAGACCACAAAAATGGATTAACATTTGCACCATTTCATTTTAAGGCCTTGCTTGCTAACCTGTGGCACAATCTTCAGTGATTTGTTCTTCTACTGCAGCTAGACTTGCACCTTGCAAATAATTACGGAATACACAAAATACATTACTTCAAATTATCTGTAGAACTTCATTTTATTAATTCTGTCCTGTGATTTGTTCCTCCGTATCAGTTATTCCTCCAATGTTGTCATTTGTAAACTTAGAAGTTGATTTTTGATTCCAAAATCTAAATCATTAATCTAAGTTTTAAAACAGCAGAGGCCCCAGCACTGATCCTCCTACCACTGAATAACTATCCTTTATTCCTCTCCATTTTCTGTCTTGATGCCAAATAGGGAAACTACCACCCATCTCAGATTCAACATTTTTTAAAACTTCATTCAATAGTTTATGGGTGATCTTATCAAAGGCCTTTTGAAAATCCAGACAAACTGCATCTGTTGCATTGCCACCCCCACCTCAAAAAAATTCAATAAGGTTAGTTGAGCAGGTTTTTCCCCCGTGAAATCTATTCTGACCATCTATTACTGTATTTCCTTTTTCCAGTTGTTCTATTGTTTCCCTAAGTAAGGATTCATGTGTTTTTCCCCCAGCAATGCTAAACTGGCTGGTCTGCAATTCCCTGGACATTTTCAGGTCTTCTTAATCAATTGAATTATATTCGCAGCCCTGTGTCTTTCTTCGGAACAATAATGGCAATGTCATCCAGAAGTGTCAAATTAATATACAGGTCCACAGCTGTTTGCCCTGTTCAGTTTGCACTTAATAGCAAGAACCAATTCTCTTCCTTTCACACCTTAATTTACACTTTATGTCCCCTTTCTCCACCACTGACAACCCCTTTCTCTTTTGCATTGGACCTCCATACCATCTGCTGTTTTGCTCTTCTGCATCTGCCAAAAGATAACAATAACCTATTCTCTATAACTTTTCAGTTCTGAAGACTCATACCAGACTCAAACCATTCATTGTTTCTCTAATAATAGATGCTGCTTGACCTGAGCTTTTTCAGAATTATTTGTTTCAGCTGATGGCTCAGTTTTGATGGAGATGGGAAAATACTGATTCATAGAAAACATTGTCATAAAATTCAGACAGCTTTATGGATCAAATCATTGAAAACTTTAACTAGTTAACAAGTTGGACAGCCATTTTTCCCATCTACCCAAGTAGCAGAGGATGGTAAACAGCTGGCACTTCATAAGTTGCAAATGCTATTTTAATGACATTTCTAACATCCACTTTCAAAAGATCTAGGCACCTAATCCAGCCAATTATTTTGATCTCACTTTGCCTACAATGGTTTTAAAACAGTGGAAGTTAGACAGTTTTATAGTTTATGCATTGTGTGAAAGAGCAGACTTACCTTGGTGTGAACTGTGAATTTCACCTTCTCTCTCTCACTCAGAGCATCAGGAATATCAACCAAAATTGAGGGCTCTGCCTCCATGGAGACTGAAGCTAGCTGAAAGCAAAAAGGAGACACTTACTTGCAGTGCACAATGCAAGACAGTATATAGAAATGTAGAATTTTACACTAGCCCTGATGGGAATTACATCAAACAGTAATTTGATATCTTGGCACCTTTCAAATAGAAAGCAATATACAGAATTATTTTCTGCCTTGGCAAAGTTGAATGCCCAATATTGGGGAAAAAAAAGGGTACCAATCTTAATAACAAGCACAGGCAGTGAGAATCACCCTAATTGTACTTAACTTCCAGAGCCACTGTCCTATAATGGAGATGTCACACTGAAGCCTAGTCTGCTCTCTCAAATGGATGCAAAAAGATCTGAGCCACTACTGAAAGAGCTAAGAGAGTTCTCCCCTGGTGTCTTGGAGCCAATACTGGCATGTTTCTAAAGAAAATCTTGTCATTATCGCATTGTTGTTTGAGAATTCTTGCTGTATGCCAGTTGGCTGCCACTTTTCCTCCATTAGATATATTTGCGGACTTGTCCCAAAATTGGAAGGGCTATCCCACAGACTAGTCCAGCAACAGCCTGACAATCAGTCATACTTATCAAATCATACCTTACAGCCAACATCCCAGTCACCGCTGCCATCTACCCTGGGTACGTCCTATCCCACTGGCAGGACAGATACACCAGAGATGGGAGCACAGTGGTAAAGAGTTAGAAGGGAGTGGCCCTGGACTCCAGACTTCAGGTCAATCACATGCAAGATCAAGCTGATTATCAGTTTAGGAATGATAGGTGATGACAGTAATCTTAAGCTGAACATTGCTTGGATGAAGCATTACCATCAAGTCAGGAAATCCACCATGGATCAGTGACAATTACAAGCGTACACTAGGCTTTGAAAATGATACCAACCAGGTGACGCTACACCAAGTCCTACAGACCTGTTTAAAACGGAGAAGAAGGAGTATGCTACAGTTAAGCAACACCATAAATCAATGGATCAAGTTAAATCTCTATAGCCTTAACATTCAGTCCTGACAAACAACTAAACAACTAATTGGAGAAGTTCCATAAATATACCATTCTCACTGATGGTCGAGGCCAGCAATTCAGACACAGCTGAAGGCATTTTCAACCAGCATCAGCCAAATAATCATACGTGTCCCCAAAGATGCAAATATTGAGCTAATTTGATTCATAGCACAAAACACAGAAATGGCTGAAGACATTGGATCTAGTAAAGGTTATGGGCCCTGATGTCATCCCATCTATAATACTGAAGATGGCACTCCAGAACTTGTTACGCCCATTATGAAGCTGTACCAGTACAGTATCAACAGTGGTATCTAGCTGACAATAAGGATCCCTAAATAATCCAATTCAGCCTGAGCTTGGCAGTAAGCAAGGTGATAAGGATATCACTAACAGTGCTATCTTACTCAGCAGTAACCTGCTCATCTATGCAGAATTGGAGTTCCACAGGGCCACTTGGCTCCAGACTCGATTACAGCCTTGGACCAAACACAAAGAAGAGCTGAATTCCAGTAGTGAATCGAGTGTAACTACCCTTTAAACATTAAAGCAACATTTGACAGAGTATGGCATCAATAAACCCTAGCAAAGTTAAGGTCAATGAAAATCGGAGAATACATTCCACTGGTCAGAGTCATATCTAGCAAAGATGACAATTCTGGTTGTAGGATGCCAGTCTCAGCTCTAAGACATCACTGCAGGAGTTCCTCAGGGTGAATATTTTCTAATCTGTTGAGATATGTTATTACACACCTCTGGAACAGGTGAACTTAGGCCTCCTGGCTCAGAGATAGGGACACTATCACACACCACACAAGGGCCTTATGTGTCATTTTTAAATGGTGGTCAGATTATGGGATTCAGGTGAGTTACTTGCTACAGAATTCCCAGCTCCTGACCTGCTCTCATAGCTAGTGTTTATATGGCTGGACCAGTTAATTGTTTGATAAATAGTAATCCCCAGGATGCTGACTGCAATGGTGTTGAATGTCAAGGGAAAATTGTTAACTTCTCTTTTGGAAATTCTTTGCCTGGCACTTCTATGACATGATTATTGTTGCCACTTGTCGGCCCAAATTTGAAAGTTGTCCTGATCTTACTTTGTGTGCACACAGACTACTTCACATCTGAGATAGGAATGATATTGAACACTGCAATCACAGCAATTGTCTTGTTTCTGACCTTTTATGATAGAAAGGTAATTGAATCAGCTGAAGGTGATGATCAGGCTTGGGACATTATGCTGAAGATCTTTGGATTTTTCTGGCATAAGGGTAATGTCCCTACCTCTGAGCCAGGAGGCCTCAGTTCAAGTCCCACCTGCTCTAGAAAATGTGCAATATCATCTCTGAACAGGTTAGTTCGAAAATATTTACTCTGAGGAACTTCTGCAATGAAGTCCTACAGCTGAGATTGGCATCCTATGACCTGTATCCTAGAACTCAGTATTAAAAATAATACACATCAGGAATGTGAAATAATAGTCTCCATTTGTCTGGATGGGTGCAGCTCCAACAACATTCTAGAAATTTGACACCATCCAGGAAAAAGCAGCCCACTTGACTGGCATTCTGTCCTTTATCTGTGCAGAAATGGCAGTAATCTCTATTATTGACAAATTTCACTGCAGCAACTCACTATCTCTGATGAATAGTCTCTTTCAAAATTGGTCAAGCTTACCACTTAGATGTATGAGGACAACACACACGGGGAGGTGATGGCCTAGTAGTATTATCACTGGACTGTTAATCCAGAGACCCAGATAATTTTCTGGGGTCCTGGGTTAGAATCCTGCCATGGCACATGGTGGAATTTGAATTCAATAAATATCTGGAATTAAGAGTCTAATGATGACCATGACTCCATTGTCGATTGTTTGAAAAACCTATCTAGTTCACCAATGTCCTTTAGGGAAGGAAACTGTCATCCGTACCTGGTCAGGCCTACAAGTGACTCCAGACCCACAGCAATGTGGTTGACTCAACTGCCCTCTGGGAAGTTAGGGTTGGGCAATAAATGCTGCCTAGCCAGCGACGCCCTCATCCATTAAATGAATGAAGGAAAAAAAAAAATCATCATCTGTAGGTTCCATCCTTAGCCATACACCACGTGCACTTAGAACAATATCATAATTCTTTCATTGTTGGTAGAAAATCCCAGAAATTCCATCCAAAACATCAAGACAACAACTCACCAGCACCTTCTCAATAGCAATTAGGAATAGACAGCATATGTTTGCCTTGCCAGTAATGTTCACATTCTATGAACAAAAGAAACTAAAGCACTAGTCCCCCAGAAGAAAATCTTCAATGGAAGAATACTAATAGTTATAAATTTACAAATAAAATCTCAACTCAGAGGTAAACTAGTGAGCAATAACAAAAATACCAATGTTCTAAATAACAAATATTTGAGAGAAATCAGAAACCAACAAATACTGCACCTTCTCAGCGTACGGTTTTCCCCTAGTGCAAATGTGGCAGTCATGTTAAAATAGGGCTCCTGAGCCACACCAGGCAATGTTTAACAGAGGTGACCAGTAAAGCGCACACCATTGTCTCAAGTTGAAAGACTACCAAACAAGAGCAAGTAGAGCAAGAACTAGAAAACCAAGAGAATTATGTGTCACTTCCAGAAAATTTATTGGTATTCTGGTTTCTTTGACAAATCAACTGGGTCTCGTTGTTCTCTTGGTAGTCTAGAATCTCAAGTCTTGAATGCACCTTATTTTATATGCAGCCATTACAAGTCTCAAATATCAGGTTTGCTTGCATTTTCAAAATTATAGAACACTTCCCAGAAGGAAGTTTACCCTATGGAACCACTGATTGAAACCCACTTAAAATTGAAGCAGTAGCTGGATTACAGTAGTGATTCATTTCCCACACCGCTCCCCACCTTCCCACCACCCCAAAACCATGAACTATTTTCATGTATTCCTATAATTTGAGACTATGTACCTTATTAAAAGCTTCTTAAAAAGGTGTCTGGCTGCCAATGATAAAGAAAACCCTTTATCAAGAAGATTGTAAACAGCAAACCAGTTTGGCATCTTGTTTGACATTGTGTATCCGTACCAGTTTTCACAGAATTAGAAAAGGGCAGCCATTTTGCCCCATAAGTTCTTCTTTTCACTCCAGTAGTGCCAAAATAGCAGCCTGGAAAGTGAAATGCAAAACTCATCCAAACAAGGCAAACCCACAGGAAACAGTAGATCTATTCTTAAAAAAAAAAACTTTCCTTCTCACATAATACAGCACCATCTACATTAAACAGACTAACTCCTTTGCCTTCAGAATACCTCAGCATTTTTTTCACTGACAGGAGGGTTGATTTATTTAGCAAGAGATAAAGCTAAAGGTTGAATTGCAAACTAAACACTACCCATAGTAAGGGCCAATGATGCCATTACAGAAAAATAAAAATCCTTTTAGTGATAAACCAGAAATGGGACACAGCACCAATCTTTACCATCCCTTTCATTTGGTAATGCACATGATACAGACCCCAATGTCACAATCACAATTACATAAAATTCTCAGATAAACTCACTGTTACAGCCATTTTGTTTGTGACAAGAATGAGCACACATTACAACTATTTTGTCACTGCAAGAGCATTACACAAGTTGCAGGACAACATCCAGTGCATCAATAAATGATGCGAATGTGTCTTCAACACATTTGACTTTTGCATTAGTACTATCATTACAGTATATCAAAATAAGCCAGGAAGTAGTACTTTTGAAGTGTATTATTTGTTGCAATGTGGTAAGCATTTGTGCACAGTAAGATCCCATTCACAGCAATGTGGTAATGACTAGATCATCAGTAATATTAATATTGACAGACATAATTATTAGTCAGGACATGGGCTGCACCCACCCAGTCTTCTTCATTGGATGTTGAGGGGTGTGGCGGAGCAGAGGGAGTCTTTAATGCCTCACCTAAAAGTGGCATTTCTGGCAGTACATTCCTGGAGTGTCAGCTTAGCTTTTGTACTAGCTTT